TTTCTCTTAACTCTGAGGTTCCTGAGCTAGCTAATAACAGAGGCTCTGGCTAGGGAACTGGATGGCTTTGAGAACGCAGAATAGGATCGGGGGTTTTCATGCTGCTTCAGATGTCGGATGGTTGAATTTAGAAAGTTTCGTTTCAGAGATGTGTGTGCATGTCCGGTCTGGAAGTATTGCTCCTGGAACCTGGGGCCAAGTGCAAGAAACTCCTACGCCTTCTGGGATGAAGCGTGCTTTTTTCTGTTTTCGCATTTTGGAATCTCTTTTTCTCTTATAAGATGAGGGAAATATTTCTTTCTCTCCTAGGACTGGCATGGGACCCAGCTAAATATTGGGCTTGCTTCCTTACCGAGTGAAGTCAGAGAGAAAACTCCTTGTGACATCACTGAGACTAAAGCTGTGCTCATTGCAACACACGTGGCACTTGCATGAGATACAGTTCAGAGGACTGGCATTGTCATCACTGAGAAGATGACTTATGTCCTAAAGCCTGAGGTTTTCTCTCTCTTTTGAATACCAGATGTGTATTGGGGGAGCGGGGGGAGGGGGTGTATACACAGCCCTTGCTCGCGTAGTTTTTGCCAAAAAGTCATAATTTGGTAAACTGGAGAACAGGCCACTTTTTACTGGAAGTGCTCCTCTGAAAATATTCTTCCCAGTTTTTGGAGGCTGAAGTGACCATCCTTGCAGAGCATAGAAGGTATTGCAGTCAGCAAGTATGTTTGCAAAGGATTCGTACAAGTACTTAAACCAAGATGCATGTCTAAGCAGCTGCTTAAACAGCAACAGTTAATACTGCCCAGCTGAAATCTTGTGTTCCTACTGGACTTTTGCTTCTTTGCACTTAGACTGGGGCATTAAGAAAAAAATCACCTAAATTTTTCAAATGCAGGTAGTCGTTTCTCAGACCCTCAGTTTAGGTCATCTAGCTTAAGACCTCCTGAAAGAAGGCAGTTTTCTCAAAAAGATTTTGAGCATCTGTCCTTGAAAAATCAAGCATCTCTAATGCATCGAGAGGCACCCAAAATCACAACGGTCAATTTTGAAAATATAAGCCGATGTTTATGTCGAGCTAATACCCTCTTCTGGAGCCCATTTTGCATTTTTTATTTGTATCTTTATGGCGCTTCCATTCAGCCAACCTCTGTCCCGTCACTGAAGGTATTAAATAAGGAAACATCAGTGATAAAGAAAAGACAGCAGGGCAGGTCTTAATGCACCTAAAAGGAGACTTTTTGTAGCTAGCCTCTGGAGCTGTACAGATATTGTTGAGTGTTTTATTTTCTTCCTGTTATAAATAGAAGACCACAACTTATTGGGGAAGCTTCCTGAAGGCAACTGAACGGCGAATATCCTCTTCCACGTTCTTAGAGGTCTCGTAAGGGGGCTGCCATTATTCTGCAGGCAGCTTTTTACTGTCTGTCCAGTCTTCAGGCCTGTCGTTTGGCTGTTCTCAGGAGGGAGCTCCGACAATTTGTCAGCTCAGCTAACGACTGAAAAACCACTGTTAAGGGGTGGGTCATTTCCGGTCCCTTGTGGGGCTGTTGCTTGCCGTCTCGGGCCCGGGTGAGTCCGTCTCACCACTGAGCAGGTTTCAAAAGCCTGTTTTGCACAACCATTAAATTAAGGTTCCCATTTCATGTGTAAGCACGTAAGACCAGGGAGGCCTGGGTATTTGTGCTTCTGTCTAAAGAACGTGCTGAAGTTGGGCTGGATAGATTTGGTTTCTCTCCTGCCTGAGTTTGAGACCTCCTGATACTCTGCAACTTTCCTTTTCACATTACTCTGTTCAGTATTGACCTTTTCCCAGACCACAAAGGATGAAGAGGCTTTCTGAATTCAGCAAATATGTTGTTTCAATACACAGCTTGCCTGCAGCACCAGTTTGGTGGGAAGGCAGACGGTGGGTAGCAGGGTAAAGCCAGCCCTGACCATAATAACCCTTGTTGCAGAACCTTTTACCTTACCACACCTTGTGTACCGGTGTAGAAAGACAGCTTTGTGCTAATGGCACACGGACAACGATTTGGAAGGAGGGAACTTACTGCCAGTATTTTCATTGTGGACAGGGAACAGGTGCTGAAGGGCTGTGCAGTGCCTTGCAAAAGTGCAGCCCCTATAATCTCCCTTGCTGCAGAAGGGAGTTGCATTGTAACGGAGTCCCTATTTTGAAAACAGCTTAACTAGCACCACGTTCTCTCCTGTCCTAAATGAAAGGCTGAGCTGGGAGGTTTAGCGGTGGATGCTGGACTTGAGATCTGGGTTGTTCCTGCTCTGCCTCTGGTTTGCTTGGGTGACCTTGGATGCATTGCTTTCTCCCTGTGCCTCGGTCTCCCTATGTGTTGTACGGGAATAATTAAATGGATCATTTAGTGAAAGCGCTTCGAAATCTCCGAATGAAAAGCCCTATATAGGAGTGAGGTCCTAGGGCTATAGGAGTGGGAGATCTGCCAGTAACACGGCAGTCTCAGTGGTGCAAGCAGCCACACATGGCATTGGACTGAGCGGTGGTGAAACTGCAGATCCATACAAGTGGTTCAGATTCTCACTGGACCGAGAAGCTGCCTGGTTTCTGTATTTTACTTGGATATAATTGTGATCCTGTGGAAAGTCCCAGGAGGGGCAGCATCTTTTGCTCAGTGGCTGAGTGGCTCTTAAGTGAAAATAGACTCTTTCAACCAGCGAGGAGAGTGGAATTGTTAAAATCTGTATTTGGTGCTAAATTAGCATCCCACGAAGGCTGTAATTAGGAAACAAAGGATTATTTTGCCTGCTCAGCAATATTTGAATTACATGAACATCACAATAATTATATTTTGCATGTGTGGGCCTTCAGTATGCCTGAGTATCATTCAGATGTGGCACAACTCGTCTCACTGAATAGGGGCACTAGGGGAGATTCTGAAATGACTGGGGGCTTTGGGTGTCTTGAGACCCTTTAAAAATGGGGCGCTCAAATTGCTCCAGATTTAGGTCCCTTTCAGGTATCCCAAGTCAGGCCCCAAGAACTGAGATTTTTCAAAATCACTCCTCGCTTTTGATGCTCTTGATCGGTGGTATTTCCACCCAGTAATTACATGAGCTGTTCGGTGATGCGGCCCTGTTACTGCTGCCCCTTCTAGGACTTTTCAGAGGATCATAATTATATGCAAGTAAAACACAAAAGCCAGACAGCCTCTTGAGTTAATTCTGAGATGCCTTCAGGGCAGTTTAAAGGGTCTATTCTCTTTTCCTTGCCTCCTAGTGCAATCACGATGGGTTGCCTGCACGAATGTTATTGTAATTGCCGAGGGATGATGGCTCGAGGTTTATGACCCTGTCTGAGCCCCTCAAGTGAGTTATGGCCTTTCATTTACTCCTGGGGTCATATTCTCTTTATAATTGCACTAAAGTGACTTTCCACTGTGCTTGGTATATGAACCCAGACATGCCATAATTTGCCCTGTGAAACATAGCTGCCTCTTAATTACATGAAGTATGTTAGATTGTCTTCCCAGACATGGTAACTCCAGTTAAGTCCATATAAATCTCTTTGACCTCCTTTGCAATTTTCTTTCAAATAGCATAACTAATAGAGGTAGTCTTCACGAGCGGAGAGTTTGCTACTTATACATTCTTCTTGTCTGTGCTCAAGTAAAGCAGGGATAAATCTACCCACCTGTGTCAATGGAGTTACGCTGGTGTAACACAGATAATGATCTCGGAAATTGCCGTAGGGGAGGAATGAGTAGTCCCCTGTAGTCCAGTATCCTGGCTGTAACAGTAGTCAGTAGCTTCAGCACAGAGAGGCTGTAGTAGGCGGTGATGGGATAACTTGCCTTCAGGGAAAATTTCTTCTTAACCGTCACAAACAAGAAGATGGCTTATGCCCTGGAGTACAGAAGGATGTGTCCTGTGCCAGGCCATTTTCTTGTTGCTTTAGTCTTTGCCATTGCAAACTTGCGTGCTTTTGTTAGCTATAGCAAAGTCAAATCCTTTTTCAAATCCTGCTGATTTCATGCTTTTAGTTGTATCTGGGGGCTGTATATAAAGCCATGCGAGGCCCTCTCATGGTGGGAGTAGACAGCAGTACATCTAACTATATCTGTTGTAAAAGAGAGATGCTTCTTTGCTTTCTTTAGGCCCGACTCATCTGTGACGCGATGCTGCTGATTTCAGTGGTTCCAGCTGGGTAGAATTTGGCTCCTCGCGATGGCACCTGCAGCAAAGTGGTGTTTCTAGCGTGTCTAGAAATCTCTTTTCTCCCTCTGGGGGACTTTGCCATCAAGGAAATGTCTTCTTTAAATCCTGTCTTTTGTAAATCCTGAATCATTAGCGCACTCTTTTGATGCATTTCTGTTGTTTGCCGTGCATGATGCCTGTGCCACTCGGAGGGTTTAAAAAGTCTCTGGGATAGAAAAAGGCACATAACATGATAACAGAAGCAAGACAGCAGAAAGCCATTGGTTCTCTCCTGGCTTCATGGTCCTGTAGGGACACAGGTTTTAATGAGTGTGTTTTACTCTAGGGCAAGTAAAACTGCCCCAAAGGAGTTTTTACTTTGAGGAGTAATTTCTGTCTGAGCTCTCCTTCAAAATCTGAGCTTTTGCTGGCCTGCCAGCTCTGATCTTTGTGCTAATGACCAACGCATTAACCGAAGGACCTAGTGTGCAGTGAGAATTAAAGTGACACAAAGGGTTGCTTGGAGATGTGCGGAAACCGTATGCGCTGCACTTAAGATCAGCTTCCCCATGCGTTTGGCCACAAGAGGCTGGAAGAGCTGAGAGGCCAGAGCGGATTTTAAATGCATCCCTTGTACCAGTGTGTGCCATTGTATGTGATTCACTCAGGTGCCTTCTTTGACAACAAGGAAGAACGTTTCCTTACGAATCTGTAATATCTGTAATATGGCCAGCCCCTGTGCATTGGCTGGGTGTTGCCATGGTCCATAGGTATGTAGTCAACACTTTTCATAAGAAGAGCTCAAATTCATACGTCGTCTTTTCCCTTCGTTCTAGGCACAGGCGTGCATACTCCTCCAGAAGGCTCTGCAGACTCGGGAACTGAAGGAAGCCATGGCAGAGGAGGAATGGGAAGAGCTGATCAGAAAGAGCATCAGTCAGGTCACAGAGGTAACGAGCACCAGCAAGTTGAGCATGTGTTCTGCCTGGTTAATGCTTTCTCTATTCCTGCACCCCATGCTGCAGTGCAGGCCACATGGACTTCTAAGAGACTGCATTTTGAATGCATTTTTTGTCGAGGTCCTATAATGGATTGGCACCGATATAAGGATAATTGACTAAATTGGCAGTTGGCGTTTTTTGGCTGATGTGGCTGATAATGCCACCAATAAAAGCACTGTGCATGCGTGCAGCCACAGCACAGCATGCAGGTGGCCAGGGGTGCAGCCTGGCAGCGTGGAGAGCATCTGGGTCCGGCTGGTAAGTGTGCTGTGAGGGAAGGGGGGAGGAGGGGGTAGATCGAGGACCCCCATGCTGAGGGAGGGAGGGAGAGGGGCAGGAGCTGCACAGCCGGGGTAGAGCGGGGGACAGAGCTATGAGCAGCTCGTCCAGGGGGCGCGGGGATGGGGTAACGGCTCCTGCTGGTGCATGCATCCTGGGAGGACATGGGGGTGGGTACCCCCGGATCTGTGCACAGGGCAAGGGCGGGCTGCCGCTGCGGGTTGGAGCCTGGGCAAAGCCAAGCTCTTCCCAGTGGGGGGATGGGCTGGGCTTTGTTCAGGGTGGGCTGTGGTGGCACTGGGAGGGGACTACAGCAAATTTTGGTGTTGCTGCACCCCCCCTTGCCCCCATAGCCTCCATCCAGTGCCACTGCTGCCTGCCCTGAGCACAGCCCAGATCAGCCCCACACTGAGAAGAGCTCGGTGCGGCCTTGGCCCCAGCCTGCAGCAGCAGCCTGCCCTCGCCCCGCGCACAGATCAGGGGCATGCATCACCCCACGCCCTCCCAGGGTACGTGCAGCAGTGGGAGCCACCCCCCTGTACCCACAAGACAAGCCACTTGCAGCTCTGTCCCTTGCTCCGCCCCAGCTGTGCAGCACCTGCCCCAGCCCCACTCCCTCCCTCACTGCGGGGACCTCCATCTGCTCCCACCCCACACCCCTCTAGACCTGAAAAAGATGATAAGTGGAACTAGGATTAAGAACCAAGGATTCCTGGCTCCAGGTTGAGACATAAATTGTGGTCCCTATTCCCTGCGCTGGAAGACGTTTGCTAAGAATTGGGGGAAAACAAATAATTTGTTTTGCAAACATGGTCTTGCAAAGATTGTCTCTGGTGAAAGGCATTGGAAGAAATTGGTCTGAAGCTATCTGAGAGGTAGTCCGTGTGCCTGCAGACTGGAACAATATTCAGGTTGCATTGGTTAGTGTAGCAGTGGGTATAAATAACTTAACTAGTTTTAAGATGCAGCTTTGTAGGTTTCTGAATGGGGCTGTCTGCAGGGGCTGAGGGCTGGACTTGATGATCCAAGTTGTTCCTTCCAGCCCTGTGCTCTGTTTTCTACCTTTTTGTACAATGACCTTTTCCTAAGCATAGGTTTCAGTCTTCACACACTTTTTTTTTAATTGGTGGTTAGAGTGGCTTTTAGCTTTTTATAGCTTGGAATATTAGCAACAGAACAAATTGCTCTAATTTCTTCCTCATTGGGTAGGGAGAAAGAAATCTAAGCAAACCTATTTTAAGCAATTCTGAGATGACATTTATACAAGGTAGTACTGGGCTTTGGCAAATTGCTTTTCTTTGAATGATTTCATCAGGAAATGATGAGTGAAGCTTGATTCACTTTAAGGTAAACCTTAAAGTGCTGCCTGTCTCCCAAATTGTGCTTTCTTCCCTACTTTGAGTTAAATACCCACAAGTTTCAAAAGAGAGCGCCATGACATGTCAGGAAGCCACTAGATTTTATGATCCCTCTACATCCGTGGTTCCCAGACTTCCTGGACCGCTGCCAGCCTCTGCTAGAGGGTAACAGCATTCAGTCCCTGCTGGCTGGAGGTTGGATTTAGAAGCTGAACGTCTTTGTCCTTGACCACCCTTTCCAGACAGTCCAGTCCCAGTTTTGTTAGTGCAGAATTTGCTTGCTGATTTGATGCAATATAGTCTGCAAAGCTGGGAGTTTGCACTGGCCTCACACCCACCTCTGGGTAGGCAGCAGCACAGCTCACAAGGGAGCTGAAATCAGGAGACTTCAGTTCCTCCCTGCCTGCTGCCCGTCAGGTTTGCAGCAGCACAGCCAGTGACTGTCCAGATTAAGCTTTGCCCCAGTGGAGCAAGGGGTCGGGGAGAGGCTGCCTCCTGTGTTCTGCTTTCCCATCCCATCTTCCTTGAGTGCATGGAGGGCCGCTTAGTCATGAGCAGGCAGGCGTGAGGTGGCTTTAACAGCACATGCTAGAGCTGGGAAGAGAGCAACATGCTAAAATTGCCTCTGTGGGTGTCACTGTGTCCCCGTGCAAAACTAAGAGGCAAGAGAGAGGGGCAGTCGGGAGTTAGAGCCTTAAATGAGGAGACAGCTGCCTGAAATAGCAGTCCTAGCTGCTGCAGGGCCATGCCTCTTGCACTTACATAAGCTTGCTTGACCTTATTTATTCTCAAGCAACTTAAGCCTGCTGCCAGAACACATACAACACAACCTTCGGGGCCAGGCTTGCTCATTTTGGTGCCTGGGCAATTGGATAGTGCAGCCAGTAACAGTGGAAGAGGGTGTCACACGGCAGATCTCCATTCACCTGAGGGTCTTGAAACCCCTTATTAATATTAACTCATAACGCTACCTCACTCTCCTCTAGCACCTTTCAGTAGATCTCAAAGCATTTGACAAAGGATCCTGGTGTTGTTTCAGTGAAGCATCCAAGTCCCTTCCTGCAGAACATGACACCCCTCACACACTGCAGTATAGGTGGGGAAGATGGGATACCGAGCCTGGGATTTTGCACTAGTGAAGCAGCCAGATCTCTAGAGTTGTGCTCCAGTTTTCTATCCATGGAGACATGTGGCCTGTCCTGGTCCAGTTGTCTGTCTACTGGGGTACGTGTCCTAATTCAGTTTCACAGCAGCCTTTCATGCTAAAGAAGTATCATTAGCATCATTTCACCCACAGAGAAGGTATGTTGGAGTGTGAATTGCCTGGAGTCGAGCTGTGAGCAAACCCAGGCATCCTGAGAGCCTGGCTTCATCCAGGAGACCACACCACTCTCGCCATGTATGTTTTTTGGGGAAACTGCTGCTGGACTTGTCTGCAGTGACTCTGTACATTATGGCTGAATCTGTGTCTGCGGCTGGTACACTGTAAAGCCAAAGCCCACTGCAGGGCTAGATGATCCTTTTGGCCCACTTGCATTCATAAGGCTGTTTTCTTTTTGGCGTCCTGTTCTGTGGGTGCCTTGGCTTAAGAGGAGTCTTAGAGCCGGGAATGAAGAGTCCATTTGTAATCCTCTTCCTTGGGTGAAGTCTGATTGCTCCTTGCATGGCAGAGGTCCAAGGGGGAGCCGTCCTTCCCCTGCTGTTTCATAATGTTCATGTCTTCATGAATGCTGCTTTCCAGGCTGAATTAGTCCGGGGTTGAGTTTGCCTCTTGCCCAGGCCTGCACCTCCTGTTTTTCTTCACTGTCAAGTGCGTGCGTGCAACTGGGTGGCACAGACTTTTCTTTCCGCAGCCCCTGTAAATCATTTGGCGTGTAGGTGGTGATATGCTCTGGGGCTCCCTTAGTACCTGCTATTACTTGGTACAGGCATAGTTTGATAGCCTTTCCTTGCCTCCTGCTCTTTGTGTGTGGGAGACTTGTACTGATGCTTCCTCTGGTGGATCTGTTCTGCAGATAAGCAGAGAGCTTAAATCTTTTGGCCCATCTATCCAAAACTGTTCATTATCGCTGCAAAGACATGACTGTAAATGGTAGTTGCCAAAGATTGTGAAGGAAGAGGAGTTGTGGGAAATGCCATGCTTACTGTATGTCTGTGGCTATAGGTTTGAGTGCCGGCCCATATGTTGGAGAAATAGTATAAATCCTCTAGAAAGGAAGTAGTTAGGGTGCCAGCCTGGGCTTTCATAGATGTTAGGGCTGGAAGAGACCTTGCGAGATCATCGGGTCCAGCCCCCTGCTTTGAGAGAGCATTTAAGTTCCCTTCTGTACCAGAGGCTCCCTGTTTGTCCTTAGTCAAGTCACTTTGCCTTTGCGTGCCTCAGTTGCCCGTCTATAAAAGTCAGCACCGTCCTTTCTCACAGGAGTGATGCGAGGCTAAATACACTGATGGCTTTGAGCTGCTCCAACACGGCGGTAACAAGAGCTGTAAACACTGGGGGTGAAATGTTAATTTTATTTTATTTTTTTATCGAACTGTCAGTTTTTATTGGCCTAAAGAAATATTTACATGCAAGTTACATCTCTGTATGCTGCTGGATACGGAGGGAGTGAAATCCTATCTGAACGTGACCGGCGGCTTCCAGGAAGATGATGAAAAGCTCACTAAGCTGTTTGCTGCTGGGAGAACACTGTTTAAAGGGCAAGTTTCCTTAGTAACTTTG